TCTCCCCATCCAGTGTTGGTGCTGTGCTGCTTTCCCATCCTGGTTTCTGTTTTATTCATATATTTTCTGTTCTTTCTTGGCTGTAACCACATTTACTAAAAACTGAATTCATTTAAGGGAAAAACAGACAGATTCCCGCTACCGGCCTGTTTTCCCCTCAAATGAATTTAGTTTTTAGTAAATGTGGTTACAGCCTAAAGAATATCAGAGAACTTAAAAAAAAAAATCTCCACTCCAGATTTTTCCACTTACAATATGGAAAAAATGTCTTGCTATTAGTGAAGTAATCTGTCAGCAGAACTACTAATATTTAATCAATATTGAGGGATTGTTTGTTCTAAATTAAACCCAGAGAATCTGTCGGAGGAAAAAAAGAGTTTTCCAAAGATCTTCAAACACAAAATCAGTTTATCCGTAAAGGAGAATAAATAGATTTTCTGACTGCTCCTCCTTTGTGCCCCAGGATGTTTACGATAAGTTGGACTACCTGAGCTCGTTGGGGAAGACGCAGATCGCCGCCGTGCAGCGGGACGCCGACATCGGCGTGGCCGAAGCAGAGAGGGATGCTGGGATACGGGTAACCGGGCAGATTCTGCTCCAGATGTGTCATGGCTGCCGTCGCTCTGGCTGAACCTGCTCTCCGCTGTGATCTGACTCCAGGAGGCCGAATGCAAGAAGGAGATGATGGACGTGAAGTTTCTGGCTGACACCAAGATGGCCGACTCGAAGCGGGAGCTGGAGCTGCAGAAAGCCTCGTTCAACCAGGAAGTCAACACCAAGGTGAGACCTGGAGGTTTGGGTGGCGATTCCTGTCAGCGCGGCTCGTCTTTTACCAAAACACGACTTACTGACCCAGAACCGCGACTTTGCTTTCAACCGACAGAAAAACGTCTGACATTGATCATTTCCTGTCTGTCATAAAAAATGTTTTCCACATAGTTGTTCAATCACAATGTTGACAATTTTTTATGACACAGATAACATCAGACCAAAAACAACCAATCAGAACCAGGAGGCGGGTCTTAGTGCTGTCAGTCATCCTTGTGAACGTGCTACTAAACATGGTAATGGTAGAGACGGGGAAAAGTTGCATCATAGCAGAGAGCATGCACACAGACATGATTGACAGCGCTAAGACCCGCCTCCTGTCTCTGATTGGTTGTTTCTAGGCAACATAGTTGTGACTTTAAACTTTAAACGTTTTTTGTTAATTTGTATTGTTTTTTTTTTTCAGTGTTTGATGCAGAAAAAGTTTGGAAACCTGCCCTGAAAATGCCTGAAAAGTTTCTGAATTTTACTGTGGAAAGTGTTCAAACCTTGACTTCTCGTCGCGTGTCGATGTTTGTCCAGAAAGCCGAGTCCCAGCTGGCCTACGAGCTCCAGGCCGCCAAGGAGCAGCAGAAGATCCGGCTGGAGGAAATCGAGATCCAGGTGGTGCAGCGGAAGAAGGAGATCACCATCGAGGAGAAGGAGATCGACCGGACGGAAAAGGAGCTCATCGCCACGGTGAAGCGGCCGGCGGAGGCGCAGGCCTACAGCATGCAGCAGCTGGCCGAGGGGCAGAAGTCAGTCAGACCGCCTCTTCATGCTCTGCTTCAGTTCCTGTGTGTGTGTGTGTGTGTTTTAAGATGTGTGTGTTTTAAGATGTGTGTGTGTGTTTGTGTCAGGACGAAGACGGTGCTGATCGCCCAGGCCGAGGCGGAGAAGATCAAGCGGATCGGAGAGGCCGAGGCGTCGTCCATCGGCGCCGTTGGGAAAGCCGAGGCGGAGAAGATGAGGCTGAAGGCCGAAGCCTACCAGCAATACGGAGAGGCGGCCAAGACGGCGCTGGTGCTGGAAGCTCTGCCCAAGGTAAACCCACCGCGGGGTCAAACCCACCGCGGGGTCAAACCCACTGCGGGGTCAAACCCACCGCGGGGTCAAACCCACCGTGGGGTCAAACCCACCCCGGGGTCAAACCCACCGCGGGGTCAAACCCACCGCGGGGTCAAACCCACCCCGGGGTCAAACCCACAGTTTGAATACAAATGAACATTTATTTTTCCCAATAGCTTAATAATTGTTACCGTTTTAACTGTTTGATTACAGATCACTTCTAAGGTGGCGGCGCCGTTAGCCAAAACCAATGAGATCGTGATCCTCAGCGGCGAGGGCAGCCGCATGACGGGCGAAGTGAACCGCCTGCTGGCCGAGCTCCCCGTGTCCATCAACGCGCTCACCGGAGTGGATCTGACAAAGGTTTGCTGTCCAACCGCTTTGATAAACTTCCTTTAGTGGAAGTTTTCTGAGTGGCATCGGGGTCGGCCGATATCAAACATCGGATATCGTCCGATATCAAACATCGGATATCGGCAGATATCAAACATCGGATATCGGCAGATATCAAACATCGGATATCGGCAGATATCAAACATCGGATATCGGCAGATATCAAACATCGGATATCGGTGTCTGAAGCAAAAAAAAAAAAGCGGATCAGTGAATCCAATTTTCACAGAAATCCCCATAAAATGTGTAGAAGTTTGTGGTTGGATCAAGGTTATTATAGTTAACTAAAACAAACAAAATAACAAAAAACGAAACTGGGAAAAATTTTTTTGTTTACTTAAATAAATAAAAACAGTAATTAAAGGGAAAAAAACTACAATTAACTCTAGGAAGAGCAGCCATTGTTAATGGGGATCCAAACTAACTTGCTAACTATTTAACTAACTAGTACTCTAACTAGATAGCTGGATCACCAAATAGCTAACTAACTGACTAGCTAACTGAACTGCTCGCTAGGTCACCTAGCTATTTAGCTAGCTAGCTAACCAGGATACCAAATAGCAAAGTAATTACCTCTTTAACTAGCTTTCTAAACAATATTTAACTAATAATAATCATTAAAAACTAGTACACCCGCTCTAAAAACTAACTAAAGTCACAACAAAATAAATCTTAATTATAAATAATTAACTGTTATATTTATATGTTTCTGTATTAGAACCTTTAGTTGTTGTTGTTGCTGAAAACAGAGTGACTGGGAGTGTCTCATCTGTTTCCACAGAGTTTGAAATGTTTTCTCTCCCTCCCTGTCCCAGATCCCGCTGCTGCAGAAGATGGCGTCTGCTGAAGCCTGAGCGCGGTCTGGTCCGGTCCGGTCTGGTCCGGTCCGGTCCGGATGCACCACTGACTGCCTTGAACACGTGGAGACGCGTTGTTCTCCGCGGCTCCTCTGCGTACCGGGAGGATTCTGGAAACCTCTGGTGCCTTACTTCACGCAGGACCAGAACATCTGCATGCACTGCTCATTGTCTTGAAACGTGGGAATATTTTGCTATCTGTACTTATTTATTCAGATGTTTGGGGCTGTATCTGTGCAAGTTAAAAAAGGAGAAGTGAAGGTAGACGACCTGCTGATTCTGATCCGCATTATATGCATCAAACTTTTTAATGTGACATATTTAATTTGCTGTTTATTCCCTCGACTTTTTGATAAGAATAAGCTACTGTGTTCGGTCTATTCCAGAGATTTTTGTTTATTTATATATTCTCATGGGGACACCTGTGTTCTGTAGATAATCAGATATATAAATATATATACATATATTTTTAGTTTTGTGTAAAAGTGATTTTAGTTGTCAGTTTTATTAACTAAATGCTTTAATAGGTCATTTTCTTATTGTATCAAAGGTGCTTGTTATCTAAAACGGTTGTTTTGGTCGATAAATGAAATGATTTTTCTTTCTTCCCTCGGAAAACTTTATTGAAATCACACATTTTTGCAGGAAAATATAACGGGTAGAAAAAAAAATCCTCTTTATACGTAAACACAGCTTGTAGTGGTTAGCTGCGGTTTTAATGGGAAATGATGCAAACTAAGGAATTGAAAAGCTCTTAATGGCTTTGGGTTACTTCTGAAGGAGAAATGTTGATAGATTTGAATATAAAAACAAATCTCATGCCACAGTTTCCTGCAGATGCAAAGCCATGTTTGTTAGTTTGCTTTAGAGAAGAGCACTTTGTTTGACGGTTCATATCTCGTCTGATTTATTTGACTAATGAAACATGAGTTTTTACCTCCTTGTACTGTTGATCATGCCATGCTAACGTCATCACGGTTCGCTTTAGCTCCTGTCTGCTGTTCAGAATCTGTCCGTCTGGGAACTAAACGCCGATCCAGACTCGACCTCAGGCAGAAAAAACGACGACGGCAGCTGGTGTAGAAAACTGATGTGCACTGTGTCTCTGAAGAAGCCATGAGCTCCAAAATGTTTTTGTTATTTGCATGTCATTCATCTGTATGTGCTCACTCTTAACCGCCATTGGAATAAATCTGACTGCTGTAACTATTTCGATTTTCATGCTCGTTATTGTTTTGCCACAATGGAAACTTATAAATAAAGTCAGGCCTGGTCCGAGTGTGTCTGAATAAAAAATGAAGATTGTTCTTGGCACTTTTACAAAGAAAAACTGGCCAAATAATTAAAATCTAATACAAAATGTAATTTTTAAATGTGAAATGAATAATTTGTTCAGTTACTCTGACCTTGAATAGACTTTTTACCAAATACTTTATTCTCACGAGTAATTTATTGCTACATTTTACTTTTACTTGAGTAAAAATATGAAGTATTGCTACTCTAATTTGAGTACAATTTTTGGTTACTCTACCCACCTCTGGTTGAAGATATTCTCCAATAGTGTTTCCCAACCCTGATCCTCAAGGCTCACATCCCTGCATGTTTTAGGTATTTCCTTGCTGGTCCAGCTGATTTCAATTGAATCACAGTAAAGCAGGAAAATATCTAAAACATGTAGGACAGTGTGCCTTGAGGACCAGGGTTTGGAAACGCTGCTATAATAGTTTAAGAAACTAGTAAACGATAAAGATCTTTTCTGTTTAGTTCCGAGACAGAAAATGTTTTTGTCCCTCCTCTCCCGTCCAGCAGGGGGCGGTAGGGCGCCTCTGAGCGGGTTGCGCAGCGCCGCTGAGCCGGATGAGCAGGAGAGGAACAGATGTTGCTGCCATAGCCAGACAGCAGCTCGGAGAAGCGGCCAGCCGGAGGATGGTGTCTTCATTTTTAATTTATTATTGTTGAATTTCAACAAAATGAAGCGGCTTTACTCATAACGTCGCGAGGAGTGAGTATCGTTGCGTTTAACGCGTCTTCTGTGGCTCCTAGTGCTAAAAATGCTAAAGCTTTCAGAGCAGCTGGCCTGGTCACAACAAGCACAAAGAAGCTCCTTATTTATCAGGTTTGACTCGAGATAAAAATCCCCTCGGACGACATTTAAATCCGGCCAGAGGAGCAGCGAGGCCCCGCGGGTCCCGCTGTCCGTGTTAGCGGCCGGATTCGGGCTGTTTATCGGTGCTAATGTTAGCTAGGAGATAAACATCACAGAGCTAACGTTTCTGTGCTGAATTAGTGGCCAGGCCCTGCTCTAAAACAGCTTTAAATAGACAACAGAATGAGTTCTCTGCTCTAAATGTCTCTTTAGAGTTATTGTGTTTAATGGTGCGACAGGAAATGATCCTCTTTTCTAGAGAAATCCAGGAGTTTTCAGTGAATCAGTGATGAATCAGCCTGTAAATGGATGATGCATGTCTGCATTAATATGCTCTTCCAGTGAACTGGAGCTAATTATGATTCTGGTATTGATCCGCTTTCTGGAACTGTTTACTGTGCTGCGAATCGACCTGAAGTGACTATTGGTGAGATTTGGCTTCGTTGAGGAAATTCTGTAAACCTGCAGCTCTGCAACATGACTCATGAGTTTTATGTGCACCTGTCACATGGTCATGTCTTAAAGGGTCATAATAAAACTGTGTTTTGAAAGGTTTAAATCTGATTTCTAGTCGTTTATTGATCAGATACTCGAGCTGCTCCCTGAAGACTGAAGCATGAGTTAATGCAACGCCAAGGAACAAATTCACCAAAGATTATTCACAAGTGGGAAATGTTTAAACATCCACTGACCTTTCCAGGAGTGGAGGTTTCAGCAGAGTCACTCTCTCATTCCCCCTCAGGTTAAAGTTTGTTTGGGATTTAAACGGTTTACAAAGAGGCGTCTGATAGAAGCGTCTCCAAGATGAATTCCTGGTTTGAGCTGAATCAGGTGGTTGAATTTTAAATCATTCACTTGATTCAGCTGTGTTGGAGGAGAATTGTATCATATATCTGGTAAAACAAATACGTTTTTATGCATTCTAGCTTTTTATCCTAACAAAACCTTGACTACAAACAAGTAGAGTTTTCAGAAAACTTTGACCCGTAAACATTCTGTGACAAATAATGTGCCAATAAGTTCACATGCTTGTATTAACTTGATTCCAAATTGACATCATCTTGTGTTTCATTAACTTAATATCGTAACGTCCAGCGGCGGCTGTGCTTGTCTCCAGGACGATGAGAGGGACTCGTCCGGCACTGCAGTAGAGGAGCAGTGACATGCTGGCTTGCCTGCCGGCGTCAGGTGACCCCGCCATCCGACTTCTTCACCGCACGCAGATGAACACTGGACTTCAGAAATGTAAGTATGTTTCACGATCAAATTTTAGGAAAATTGCTTTTGCAGACATATTTCTACTGCAGCTGTGGACGGCATGTGAAGGAATCGTCTTCTTGCCCTCCAGCATTTTGCACATGTGTGAAATTTCTGGATGTAAACAATAACATGCATCGCGTCTTTATCATTATCTAATTTACAACACTTGGTTAAAAAGAAAAGTTAAGATCAACAGTAAATACAATAAAATGATTGAAAAGAGATGTACTCAGTCTATCGAATGCAGATTTCCTGCCTCATGTTTCAATGCTGTTTTAATGCAGACTGACTGAACATTTCAGGGGAAACCACACAGGAGATGAGATCTGTTCCCCATCCGACGCCTGCAGAGTTGGACGCCTATGCTAAGAAAGTCGCCGACAAACCTCTGAACATCCAGATCTTCCCAAACAGCATCAAGGTTCCTCAGAAGAAGCACGTCCGCCGCACCGTCAACGGCTTGGACACGACGTCGTCCACGCAGCGCCACAGCCCGTACCCTCCGCACCTGGCCGCCGGCGCCGGGCTCCTGGCCGTCCTCCGCGCGCCTCCCCGAGGCCCCGTCAGGCAGCCGGACGGCTGCCGCACTCGGCTGCAGCTGAAAGCCGCCATGAACCCTCAGAGCGGCCCATACGCCGCGCCCAGCACTTTAAACCTCCCACACCTGGCCGCTCAGAAGCAGGGGGCGGGGCATCCTCAGCAGAGCCTGGCGCACCCCATGGCGCTGCAGCATCACCAGAGGAGCATGGCTCACTCTCAGGCTCTGCAGCAGCAGCAGAGGCTGACGCATCCGCCCGCCGTCGCGCGGCAGCCGCCGCCCCCTCAGGACGTGGCACCCTGCACTGCCGCCATGCCGCAGCAGCACCTCCCTCACATGCAAACTCTGAAGCATCAGGTGGCTCCAGCGCAAGCTTTGGGAACGACTCAGGAGCTGCGGCATGTCCCGGACGGCGCGGCTGTGCAGGCGGCCCCCTCCTGCCCCCCCGCTCTGCCGCCGCCGCCGTACGGCGCCCGCAAGCTGCCGGACGCTGATGCCCCGCCCAATGTGACGGTATCTACCTCCACCATCCCGCTGTCCATGGCGGCCAGCCTGCAGCAGGCGCGGCCCGGCGACCTGAGCAGCATCGTGCTGCAGATCAACCAGCTGTGCCAGGCGCGCGCCGGCATGGGCGCCACGTCCGTCTGCGAGGGCCAGATCGCCAACCCCAGCCCCATCAGCCGCAACCAGCTCATCAGCGCCAGCTCCAGGGTTTCCCAGCATGCCTCGGGGGCCGGCGGCGTCTCCAGCTGCCTGCTGATGGACAAGCCGGCCGCTCCGGCTCCCGCCGCCAGCGGCAACAATAACTTGGCTGCTTTCCACCCGGATAGTGACAAGCTGCTGCAGCAGCACCTGCTGCAGCAGAAGCAGCAGCAGCATCTACAGCAGCTGCAGCAGCAGCAGCGCTCCTGGGCGCAGCACCAGCTGGCCCACATGCAGCAGCCGCCGGAGGGAGCTCACCCCTGTAAAAACCCGCGGCTGGATCCGGTGGCCGAATGCGCCTTCCCCTCCCACGGCCTGAGCTACGGCCACAAGCCGCCAGCCGCCGCGCACAGCTTCCCGCCGAAGCATGCCGCAGACAAAACGCTGCCCCCCTCCTCCGCCAACTGCTCCTACCTGAACGGCCACTACCTGCAGCCGGCGTGGGGCGCCGTCCCGGCTGCCGCCGGAAACAACGGGAACATTCCTCAGGACCTGCCGGTGGGCTTTCAGGGCGGACACGCCGCCGCCGCCGCCGCCGCCGCCGAGCGCATCCCGGGAGCAAAGTACCGGCCGGGGAAGGACGGCTCCGCCGGCCAGCCCAAGCTGCTGCAGCACAGCGTGGATTTCCTCGGCGAGGATTTCCAGATCCCTGGCATGCAGGAGCAGAGTGTGGAAATGATGCATAAGATGCACCGCGGCGGCCATCATCACCAAGGCTACCATTAGACTCCACATCGACCCGTTTGTTCCCAACAGCACTTCGACCTGCTGAGCAGAGCCGGGCGATAAGATCGCTGTCATTTCTAAGAAAGAAAATACAAAAATATTTTCTAAAGTGGATTTTATGATTCCCTCTGTGTGTCAGGGCCGCCATACAAAACTTTTAAGTTATTTAATTAAGCGACTTTAGTCCTAATTTTACCAGAAGGAAGTTTCTGCACTTGTAGCCTGGCTCTGAATCCAAAGTCCCAATTAACAAAAGCTATTAAAAAAAAAACGCTTGTCAAACAAGATGGTCGCCATGACATCACTCCAACCCAAGGAGAGCATTTATGGAAAAAAATCCAGAACTTTTAATATTCAGAAAACTAAAATATGAATCGATCTGATCGATTTATCGCCCAGTTCTGCTTCAGAGTTTCATGGTTGGGCCTCGTGTGATGGACCGCCGCCCTGCGGCGCCATGCAGTGCCCTGCGGGGATCCGGAGACCGCCGCGGCTGGGATGATGCTCAGTGGAAGCTTCCTGAGCTCGAGCGTCGCCAGCCACTCCGCTCTGGACCGCCGCAACACTTCTCAGTTTCACGACTTTTCTCAGCATTCGTGGCCTTACGAGCGCCCAGAGGCGAGCTTCAGGAAGTCCTGGAACCACGGGTTCTCATCTCCGCCTCGAAGGCTCGGATTTGCTCTGCGGTTCTGAACTTTCCCGTCTCCTCGCCAGGTTTTCGTCTCGTTCTTCTGTCGTGGATCCGTAGATCGCCCTACTTCAACTGTAGACATGTAAAAGTTTGGCAGGAGGAACTGAAACTCCATATTTAAGTCTGGTTAATGTGAAGCGAAGGCGTCCTGTCGGAACGGCGTGATGGCGACTCCACCCTCTTCAGCTCATCTCCTCTTTCCTGATCTGATCTGTGAATCGGTTTGATTTCTGTTAGCGATGAGCAGCAAACCCACTTCCTGTGGATCCTGCGGTTCGTTTGGGGGAGCCGGCGTGGGCCGGTTCCAGGTTCTCTGAAACATCCGCCCAAAAATCACAAACATCTGGAAACTTCATCTAATGCATTCATTTACAACAAAATGAATAAATAAGGATGCATCGATTTCCTGCTGAATATTAAAGATCAGCTTTTCTGCCGTCAGCGTTGTTTAATTTAAGGGGAGACGTCACACTGTGTGTGGAGGAGCATTTGGATTGCCTATCTATGGCTACGATGCTAGGTCTGTTAGCATCGTAGCCATAGAGCTCCATATTAGCCATTAGCACAGTTAGCATGGGGCCATTTGTGGCCCCCAAATGCAACTCAACATTGATACAGGTTTGACCTGTCCACCAGAAATAATTGATCCAATTATTGCCAACATAATAAAAAAGTATTAAGTACAACACAGAGTATTGTGTTGTATTAAGTAGAACCACGTTATCCATTAAATAAATTAGCTTTTATTTAATTAATTAAAATGTTTTGAAGGAAAATTACCCAAATTCTGAGAAAAAAATTGTTCAATAAAATTCCAAAAATGAAAAAAATTAGATTTAATCCAGGAAAATCCTTGTGCTTTGGATCTATGATGGAAAAAACGGATGAAATGAGTTTTTATTCTCAGACTCAATAATTTGACAGAAACCTCTTATTTATCTTTCTGTTGTAACTGATTATAAATGTTGTCACCTTCCTTTAAACAAACTGACTGGCAGAAAGCTTGAGCAGTTTCAGAAGCCGGCCTAGTTAAAGCCCTGATGTCGCTGCCCTTGCCTTCAGAGTGATGCTGCTCAGCGACTAAAGCCTTAAATACGCGGTCCTGTCGCCGAGGTAACTAAAAGCCGGACTCTACTCTGATTGGCCGAGGTTGGCTGAAACTCCCGCCCCTCTGACAGCTGTGGAGTTTTTCAAGCGTTTGGTAAAGTGGGGAGCGGTCTGGAGCGGGGCTGTAGCAGTCGTTCTAAATGTTTTTATTCCTCTGTCCTGAAGCCAAAGTCGTTTCCACTTCAGGGGCCAAATGTGACTCAGGCGCTTTCACCTGGATTATTAGGAAAGCTCAATTATTACCTGAAAAAGTCAAACGGTGGTTTTTGGATCTGGGTCGGTTCGCTCTTTCACCGACTTCACTGCAAAAACTCAAAAATATCTCCGTGTTTTAGTCACAAATAACTTTTCGACAAATATAGGAGCTTGTTTTACGCCAATGATTCTTGATTTGAAAATATTCACTGGCAGATTTTTATTTCACTTATAACAAGACATTTTTCTGTGATTGCTTTTTTTAAAACATTTTTTTGTTTTATTACAAAATCACCAGAATAAAGTCATAAAATTACTAGAAAATGTGCAAATACTGTTCGCTGAAGTCCTGCTACTGATAAGTTTTTATTGATACCAAAGCATAACTTCACAAGATGCAACATTCCTAATTTTTTGTGCAAGTTATAAATTATTTGATTCTACTAATATTAAAACCTTCATATGTTAATATTCTGAGTTTAACTTCATATTATTTAAACTATTGTTGAGTTTTATGATTTTATTCTGGTAATATGTCATTAATCTCATATTACTTTTTCCTCAGCTTTTATTATCATATAATTAGGATTTTATTATAGTAATATGACTGTATGACTTATATTTGTCTTCAAATTGTAGCTTTTTGTCTTAAGACTTTATTTTCTTAATATTACCACTTATTTTTCTCATAACTTCTCAAATTCTCATTCTTGTACTGTTTCTACTTGCTGTTGTAAAATTTGAATCTCTTAATATTAATGTGATTCTCAGAACACAACTTTTTTCCTCATTATTTTTCTCCTAACTTCATTCTCATAGTCTGATCCTAATACTTTGTTTTTGTCAATAATTGAGTCATTTAAGTAAAGCAAGCTCCTTTATATTCCTGTTTCCCTGTAAAGTTTTTGTTATACGGAGATATTTGCTCTACAAATTAGACCAAAATGGGTTTTTTTCAGTGCAGTTGATTCCAGTTGTTAAGATATTTCTGCTGGTTGTTTAAAACTTTGTGGAGATTTAATCAGATAATGTCCTGTATGATTTCATACTGAGTTAATTCCTGGTGTTTGATGCGGTGCAGGAGCGAAGCGACCAGGTTTAGGGTCTTTATACTTGACGGGAGTTACTTTCTGCTTCCCTGGCTTTCGTTTTTGATGTGCCTGTCCCTTTAAGCTGCTATTGAATTTAATCAGCACACTGATCCGGTGTGTCTATAAATAGTAACACGATATGGGCTGCACCAGTGCGGGGGAGAAAACCGCTCCGGTCTGGTGAGCGGACACTAGGAGGCGTTAAACCCGCCGCACGAACCAGGATTAAGTTTCACGTTTGGGTTTTTCCCCAACAGCCAATCAGACGAGCTCAAACACTAAACTGTCGGACCGAGCCGCCTCTGGTTCCGAACCGCCTCTGGTTCCGAACCGCCTCTGGTTCCGAACCGCCTCTGGTTCCGAACCGCCTCTGGTTCCGAACCGCCTCTGGTTCCGAACCGCCTCTGGTTCCGAACCGCCTCTGGTTCCGAACCGCCTCTGGTTCCGAACCGCCTCAGTGCAGCCCGTTGAAGTCAGGTTCTACAGTTTCATATGAAGTGCCTCCACTGGGCTTAGTATGGACTAATGTGTGTGTGTGTGTGTGTGTGTGTGTGTGTGTGTGTGTGTGTGTGTGTGTGTGTGTGTGTGTGTGTGTGTGGTACCTGCACAGGTGTGCACAAAGTGAATCTAATGGGTGTGTTTGTGGGGGGACCAAGCTACTTGTTGTAACTACTGATACTGTGTGACGGACCGAAGTCCTGAAGCGTGCCACGACTTGTCGACGCTGTGGGGCGTCAACCGATTGCTGCTGACCCACCGACCAAAGTGACCAGGTGTCCTTCTCTCTCTGAGCGGCTAGCAGCTAGCGGCTACCTCTTAGCAGCTAACTGCTGCTAGTATGGATCGGCTATTAGTACTGAAATGGACAAGAAGCAGCTAATAGCTACTAGCAATTAGCTGCTACCAGAATGAACAAACTACTAGCACTACTGTGGACAAGAGAAACAGCAGCTAGTGGCTAGTAGCTGCTAGTAGGCACAAGAGAAGCAGCTAGCCACTAGTGGTAAGAGATTAGCTGCTACTAGTATGGACAAGCAAAGTGGCTAGTGACTTGTAGCTACTAGTAAGGACAAGAGAAACAGCTAGTCACTAGTGGTTAGCAGTGAGCTGCTAACCACTAGTTAGTGGTTATGGACAAGCTACTGGCCGGACAAGAGCAGCAGCTAGCAGCTAGGTGCTACTAGTCCACCCTAGCCATCATTCTAGCAGCTAGCTTGTTCTTCTAACAGTAACAATCTAGTGACGTAAAGAAGAGCTGCTGCTGCCTTTGTTCTGTTGCTTTCAGCGAATCTTGTGAAGTAAAAATCAAAGATGTGAACTGAGCATAAGAAAATCTAGAGTGATCGGGTCGTTGTGGCGGATACCCAGGGCTGCAGGAGAAAGGGGGCGTCAGATTTATTGGAACTAATGGATGTAATTTGTTGTCTAAGCAGGTATTCTGTTGCTTTTGGATTGTGGATATTGCGGATGTTACGTCACCTGGTTTGTGCAAATCAGGAATCATTTCCTGGGTTTTAATTGGTTGGGTTTGCCAGAACCGCCACTGAACCAGAGCTTTGTGTTTCCTGGTTCCACTTGAGGTCCAGAGGGAGGTCGGTACACGTCTGTTTGCACTCTAAGACTCGTCTACTGAAGCACATTCTGGTGAAGAGGAACCCAGCAGTCACTCTAGGTTTCTTATTGCTCTGATCCAGCTGTGGTGGGTTGTGAGAACCAAAATGTTCTGACCGCTGGTGGACGGGCCGTTCTGTCTCTACTGTGTGAAAATGTGATATTTCCCGTTTTGCCTAATCTTCAGGAACTCAAATGTCTTGCACAAACATTCCCCCCTTAACCAAAATAAAGTTTGCAAACACAAAGCTTAACGTCTTTATTATGAACGCTTTCAGATTTCTGTGCGTTTCAAACAGCAGGTGGCGCCACGTTTGATTTGTCATGTTTTCGGTCCGGGTTTGGTTGCAGGTTCTGGTTCTGGATGTTGTTCAGCTGGAAGATTCTTCCTTTTTTTTCTTTTTACCTTCAGACATTTAAGATGTGTAACCATGGAAACAAGGCCTTGTTTTTGCAGCGGATTAGCATCTCAGAACTCAGTGAAACCTGAACTTTGACCCCAAATCCCAGAGGAGCTGAAAATGAGGCATCATGGACGCCGAGCAGAGAGAGAAAGCAGATCAAACCATCTTCAGGCAAGCATCTTATCCCCTACTCCAACATCCTCCAACAGATTTAAACAGGAGCGGCAAAAGCAAATGACCTGGATTAGCAGTGCTGAAGTAAGTTCCCTTGAGCTTATTGACCAAAATGTTTTGGACACTGAGATTTACAGGCAGAATTACATTTTTCACATTTTAATTTGCTGATTTATTCTGAAATTAACTCTTTTGAACTTTAAGATGTAAGTTTGAGCTCAATAGGAAAATCTGAGATTAATTTCTGACATAAAAAAGTGGAAAGTCAAAAATGTGCCAGAAAGAGTTAATTTCTGTCAAAAATTTAACATTTTCTACAAAAACCCCTTTTACTTTTGATACTATTTTTTTTCTAGAAAATCTCTTAGTCTTTTCTATCATAATTTCAACTTCAAACTCAGAAATTCTGTTTTTTTCTCAAATTTTTTGTATTAATCTGAAAAATTGCAAATTCTTCTATCCATCATGGCTCTAAATGACCTCTCTCACTTTTTACCAAAGCAAATCTGATTTTCCAGCTTTGCCTTTCATTAAGAAAATAAAGTGAAATAATTTGCCCAGAAATTAAATTCACAAATTAATGACTTTTATTGTGAAAAGCTTTATATTCTTCAAAACAACTTAATGCGTTTTTCACTAGATGTAAATATTCTGACTTCTACTGTTAAATCTAAACATGATTGAATAAAATCAAATCATATTTTAGTCATCAGTAGAAAAGTTTAAGTGTTTTAACTTTTCACGGTTAATGTTAAATTAAACAGGTAACAGAAGAAACATACATTTTATAAGATATTAGCCTGATCATTTCTGGAAATGCATTCATGTTTTTAAAGATGTGATGAAATGCGGCTGTAATAAAGTTAGAGAATTGTGTTTAAAATGAGAGTTTGCGTTAGAGGACGTGGTTGTTTTCCCGTCGGCGGCGTCTGGAGCGAATCCTCTGGAGAAGCACATTTATGTCCCACGGATTCCCTGAACAGTCAGTTTGTTCATTTTAGTTTCAAGCAACAGGAAACAGCAGTGAAGGGACAGCAGACGTTTTACCGGAAGTTTCCTCCTCAGTTTGCGCCGTCAGCGGATCTGCAGGTTCTTCCTTCAGCTTAACGCCGAGATCCGATCGCCATTTATTCCAGTTTATTTCTGTCACTCTGAAAGAGACGAAACGTCAACGGCAGAGAAAACCTCATGTTCCCTCTGAGATGCTGTGAACTTCATGGAAGATTCCAACACTGGATCAGATGAAATGATGGTCAAATAACCTAAAATGCAAAATAATCTTACTGTGAATCGTTTTTTAAGTGCTTAGTGATAAATTAAAGCATTAAACATTTCAATAAAACAAAGAACAAATGACTTTAAATCCTAGATGTGGCTGACGTTTCTCGAATATTTATCGAAAGTTTTCTATTTTGTTGGCTTTGAAAAAGTTGCTTTATTTACCAAAACTTGCTACATTTCTGTTGGTTGTGCAGGAGGCTCCACTTCTGCTTTTCAAAATGTAGGATTGTATAATTCCAAATCTGTTGTCAGCCATCTTTATGTGCGCATGTAAACGTTGGGGGCGTGGCTTTAAAGCCACAGAGGCCCTAAAGCGGCTCAGTCTAAGAGGAGCTCCAGCTAAAACCTGGTGATTTAAGAATGATGTTGTGTAAAAAATGTAATGAATATGTTTCTGAACCCAGCAGGCTGATCCTAACCTGTTCAACGAAACATAAAAGCTCACCTTTAAAGTTTCATCATGGCTGTCAATACAGAACTCTTAATTTTCATGCCTGCAACATTCAGACATGAAAACGGCGAGTCCTGCTGTGAGTGGGCATGGTGTGTTGTTGTTTTCATTTTACCGACTGGTCCAGACAAATCCAGCAGCATTCACCTGATGAATCTCCGCGCGTCGTCCTGGTCGTTCCCGACGCAGATGGTCTCAGACGCTCCGGCCTGCAGCCTCGTCCTCAGCCACGGCGGCAGAGTCCTCTCCATGTCCAGGATGGTGAACGCTCTCTGGAGACCACAAGCGTTTCAGCCACACAGCTTTCTCTGCCCATCTGTTCTCTTTTAAAAGGTTGCATGTTGCTAACGCCAAATTTCTACCAAAAATCCACAGAAATGTTCAGATTTGTATTGGAAAAATATGAAATTTTCAGAGTTTGAAAAGTTGAACATTTGCCAGAAAAACTAAATTTTCCAAAAGCTTAAAATTTGTGACTTTTGAAACTCAGATTCATACAAAATTTATTAAATTAATCTCAAAATTAAACTTTTTATGTGAGTTTCCATATTTTTCTGGACATTTCTCAGATTGTCTAGTTTTTTTCTAGAACATTTCTGAGCATCTTAAAAATTTCACCTTTCAAATGGCAAAGTTCAAGTTTTTTTTTTTTAATTATTCTATCTTTTGAAACTCAGAAGTTTTCATATTTCTCTCAGAACATTTCTGAGATCAATCTCAAAGTTTCCAAGTTTTTTTTTGTTGTACATTTGCTTCTGTTTTATCTCCACGGCCCTGAAGAGCCGTCGCTGCGAACATCACAAAGAGAATCCGTTGAAACCTGCAGGTTCCAGATGGTTTGGCTTTGCTCCGTGATTCTCTCCACCGTGTTCCCCATCAGGGCGATGAGCATGTTGAGCATCAGGATGTAGGTGAGGACGATGTAGCAGATGAGCAGGACGTAGAAGACCGTCTTGTTCTGGACGTGGTGGGTGAACTCCAGGTCTCCCATCCCGATGGTGAACTTGAACAGCTCCAGCGTGGTGAAGCCGATGTCGTTGTAGCTCGGCTTCTCGCATCTGAACGTTTCCGCGTTGAAGCTGCGACCCGGTGGGACCGAGCCGTCGGCCGGACGTCCAACGGGCGAGTCGTCGATGAGGGTGCAGACGGCTGCAGAGGAAAAGTCGACTGCAGGTTAGGCGTTCAGACCGAACGAGTCGTCGTCTTGAATTTGTTGTGTTGCGAAATATCACCGGCAGAAAACCCAAACAGCAGGACGATGTAGACGCATAAGAAGTGCAGGAGGTCGCCGAGGATCATCTGCAGAGGAGCAGACTGCTGGCACTGCCTTCGTCTCCATTCACCATATACATTCACATTTCCAAACTCGAAACGCTACTTTAAACAAAAACTGGTTCTTGATTTTAAAATAGTTTTTGCTCTATGATTAGGTGATTTATTTTTTTTTTTTTTGCATCATACAAGTCAGATGATCAACAACCGGATGTTACTACTGGTGGAAATGACAAAGGAGACAACAGGAAGTGTTTTTATTGACTCATAGTGAACAAATTTATTCTCATGTGATTTTAATTCTGTTTCCTCTTTAATGGAATTAAAAATTAGTGTTTTTTCGACATCAATGGAATATCATCAAAGTTTTGCTCACATTTGGAATAGAAACGTAGCTACTGTATGGCAGACTGCTTTAGCATGAAATCAGTTACATTCCAGATACCTGAAACTGGTTCATAACTGGACCCAATATTAAATTAAGGTATCACTAATTGACTTTGACTGCAGACGCTTCCTGAATTACTGACTGAAACTGTCTGATACGTATATTTCAGATTACAGTTAAATTATCACTGGTTGTAAAGTAAATTTAAGATATCTCACCTTTTGTTCTGAGTTATCATAATTCTAATTAACGATTTCCAACATGACCTCATTATTAAAGTTATATGACAGGCATTTTAGTCAGGAGATGTATAAGATTTGACGAGTGCAGATATCTTGAAAGAAAAAAATAACCTGGAGATATCTGGAACTTTGACTTGTTAAATTATCACTTGATACTGTAGTTTTATATTTCTACAATAATTACAGACGATCGAACAAACTGATTTAATGTCAAAACGGCCTGCCGTAGATGCTCAGCTCTTACTCTCTGCATCATGACGTTGTAGATCCCCAGCTGCCTGGAGCCTCGTGTGAAATATAAAACATTCATCCAGGCGAGAGCCAGAGACAAGACGAGCGGCCCGACGTATTCTGTCCGCCCGCAGCAGTACAAGACCGCACACAGCAGCAGCAGGGCCGCCTGCAGAAAACTACAAACATGGAGGACATGACCAGGCAGGAAGAGCCTGCAGAAAACTACAAACATGGAGGACATGACCAGGCAGGAAGAAAAACATGAATCATCAGCAGCTCTGTGAGTCACTTATCGGATTACTGAGTTATTAGGAGGATGTTCAGTTTGTTGTTCTGATTTCTGGAAAGCATAACTGAAACAATCATATCGATTGCCTTTAATCAATTATTAAACTAACCAATCAATTTAGTAATCAGTTAATCATTAAATGTCGTATACAGACTCAAAAAAGCCTTTTGCTGAAAAAAACGACTTGCATTAAAAAACTGAACAAAAAATAAATATTTTGCATTTAACATAAACTTTTCTGCAGTTTTAGCTTCATCTGATTCAAATTCTGTAAAAAATAAATCAATAAAAATGTCCTATTAAGCACCTTTTGCTACTAATCAGTTGATCCCAAAATAATCAACAGATCAGCCCTAAACTTTATACATGTTCTGTGTTTCTCTTGTTTATTCATCCGTTGCTAATAATCATCAAGTGTTTACTAAATAAATGCTTTGTTGTCCTATTTCAGGTAATAAATTGCCTTTTTTCTTAGAAAAGGCAATTAGAGTTTATGTTAATTAGCATTGGATAAATAAAAAAATCTGAAGATGGTGTCAATTTTTTATCCTAATAATTGATTAATTGTGAGAAAAATTCATAAAATAATTGATTACTGACATAATTTAGTTACATGCCTAGCTGAATATGTGAGTTGGAAACGCTTGATGTTTTTTACAGCCATGAATGAATATTTAAAAAGCCACATATCATTTTTCACTTTTTGTGCTTCTTCATGTTTCTTCAAACCTTCAATCACGAACAAATGTCCCTGAAATCTGATATTTGGTTTAATAAATATGAAATAAAAGAAGAAAAATTGTTAACTTCATGCTGATGAGGGACTTTGAATCAAACGCCAACTTGTTTGTAATTAGCTCAGAGTTAGCAGCTAACTGTTAGCATTGTACAATGGAGACAGCCATGTATTTTTAACAGGGAGGCGGGGTTTTCCAGTGATGCGTCTGCCCCCTGATGGCTGACGCCCTGGGGAAGAGCCACAGTCTGGTATCTTTGAGTAGAAGACAGAAAGTGATGATACTCACAACAGAATTTCAGTGAATCCATCAGTAAACAGAGACCTGATGTTTGGGGGGTTCCTCCTGAAAATGGTTATCTGCAGATTTCAAAATAAGACGCGTTACTGCAGCGACTGAGATACACACTGCAGAGTTCTGAGACACTTTCGGCTTCTTTCTGTTTCCGTACAGTTTTGTAGAGAAACCTGGCGGCTCCCAGGACACTGATGATCTCACCGAGGCAGCGGAGGTGATCAGCTGGGACGTTTTCCACTGGGAACGGTGGCTGAGATGGAAAACACAAACAGTTTGTCTGTTACGGGTCGCTCAGCTGGAGTCCTGCTCCTGCCTCACCTGTCCGTCTTTCCTGTAGTACGCCACCGAGGTGAAGACGGCCAGGTACGTCAAATAAGACAAGAAGTTGAGGAGGAACAGCTTGGAGGCGAATCTCTGCCATTTGTCCTGGAGAAGACTGCGAAGAGGTTCGATCTGCAGCATCTCTGGGCGATTCTGAAACAAACAGGAAAAGGTTGATTTTTACCTGCAACGGGAAAAATCTGGTTTGTTTTCTGCTATTAATATAATCAACTAAAGTCAGCAAATTAAAACTTTCACAGGTTTTCTGTGAAATTCAGAAAAATCCCTTGATGGATACCTAAGATATAGTTTCAGAAAATGAAAATATGCAAATCAGCCAATTAAGGAGGAGCGTTTATTCTCCTTATTGCTGATTGGCTGAACCCAAAAGAGCAAAAACTAGCTTCTGCGCTAACAGTTTCCACTCTGCGTAAGAATGTAGAAAAGCTAAAATATGTAATTTAAGTATTTTTAGAGAAAATCTGTAATTCACACAAATACCAGTGTTTACTGTAAATCATTCAAATTAAAAAATTAACGACTTCTACAAAAAAGTATTGAAAAACTATAAATGTATAAATATTTAAGTGCAGGAAAGATATGAAGAAACAAATAAATAACTAAATAAACAATAGTAAATACATAAAAAAAATTATTAAAAATAAAAAAATAAATATTAATAAATAAATATGTCTATGATGATGTATGTAAATGTCTAACAACCACTGCAGGTTTGAAATTAATATTTTTTAGGCTCATTTTACTAGAAATAATTTCAATGGGAGGAACTGTTTTTATGTTACACACTATATAGATTTATAATTTGTAATTATGCATTTTTTAATGCCTTTCATTGATCTAATAACCTGTTTTATTTTAAAGGTTGTTTCGACTCAAAGCATCGGCTGCTATACATGCAAATAAATATTTAGTATTTTGGTTTCTTTGTACATAATTATTTATTTAGTGGCTGCTTTCATTCACAAAAACTTTACTCAAAAAATGATTTTAAAGTAAAAGTAGTGACCGGGCTGTCGCTCCCGAAGACGATGATCTCCAGCACCGAGTTGTTTTCAGTTGTGTCCATGGAGCTCATGTCGTAGAGCGAGGAGTGGACGGGTCCGTAGACCCACTCCGTCAGCCGCCTGGACAGCCGCCGCGTCTCCGCCGACACGAACTCTCGACTCAACATGTGGCGGAAAAGCTGGACGGAGAAACAGAACCGAGTAAACATCTGGCAAAAACCTCAGGGATGAAGATCAGAAATGTTCCAGAGAAAATCTGGACAGTTCTGAGTTCCAGAAGTTGAACATTTAAGAAAAATAAATACATTTATATTTAGAGAGTCTCAGAAATTTTTGAGAAAATCTTGGATATTTGAGTTTCAATTGTCAAAAATTTACACTTTTGAAACTCAGAAATTGTTCATGTTTTTTGTATAAAATTTCTATTTTTATACAAAACTGTACGGAATTTTTAAGATTAGTTTAAAATTTTTGCTTTTTAAAGCGAATTTTCAACTTTCCAAATTCAGGTTTTTGTTTTCTTAAAAAATCGATTAACCTCAAAATTAACAATTCAGTAAATTTTAAACTTTTCAAACACAATTTTTTTTTCTAGACAATTTCTGAGATTAATCTGAGACTAAAATTTCAGATGTTTTTCTAGCAAATGTTTTCAATTCAGAAATTTTCTTGTTTTTTTGAGAAAAACTAATTTATTTCTAAGAATTGTTTGACTTTTCAAGCTGAGAAATTTTCTCGTTTTTCTCTGAACATTTGTGAGATTAATCTCCAGATATCTGAGTTTTTGGCAGCAATGTAGTCCCTATCGCTGTAAACCTTATTCTCTGGGAAGCTGCTTTATTAAACCTCTAGCAGAAAACAAACCCACCCCGATCTTGCCGAGTTTGGCTGCTAACTTCAGCGGAGTCAGACCTTCGTTGTTCTCCATCGACTCCAGCTGGACTTTGCTGTTCAGCTTGTGCTGCTGCACCAGGATTTTGTCATACATTTCTGAAACCGTTTCTGTGTTTTCCGCCGAGTCGTCGGCGATCTCCACCAGCATATGCAGCACGGTGTTTCCCTGCGAGTCGCGGTCGGTCGGGTCGGCTGTCCGGTACGGGTTCTCCAGGAGGAACGAAACCACTTCTGGCTGGTTGGTGCAGGCGGCCAGCGACAGCGGCAGCTCGCCTGCAGAACAACCGTCTGGTCTCACCAGTACAACCCAGGATCAGGATCAGCCTCCCAACAGGAGGACATTTCCACCCACAACAAAAACAACTCAGAAATTTGGAATTAATGACAAAAAGTTCATGGAAAAACTTGGACGTTTCTGAGTTTTAAAAGTCAAAAATTGGCTATTAAAACACAGAAACTTTTAGATTAATCAGACATTTTCTAGAAAAATACTTGGAAATTTTAGCATTTGAGAGTTTTCTAGAAAATAAATCTGAAATATGGAATTAATCTTAACATTTTTTATAAAAAAAACAGAAATTTTTGAATTTGAATATATTCTAGAAAAAACAGAAATTTTGATTTAACCTCAGAATTTTTCTAGCCAAAGAAGAAGAAAATTTTAGAGTTTGAAAAGTTGAACATTTTCTATTAAAAAAACTCAAATTAATATCAGAAATTCTGTAGAAAAAACGTTTATGAGTTTCAAAACTCAGAAATGCTCAAGTTTTGAAACTCAGAAATTTGAAAAAGTATTTTTTTCTTTGAGTCTAAATGTCAGAACTCATCTGAGTTGTTTGGTGAAAATCTTCTCCTGTTTTCACTCTCGATTGTCCCGAAAGCATCTTTACCTCTCTTGGAGGAAATTACCCACCAAAATAAAAGCCCAGCTTTGCGTCCCGCTGGAAAAACGTCCCGTTGGTTTTGGCTTGGACGTCGGCTCCTTTCTGGACCAGCAGCTTGACGTAAACCAGCGCTCGTCTTTCGATGGCCACATGCAACGCCGTCTGACCTGAGCGCGTTTTTAAAGGAAATCGAATCCGTCATACGTGGCAGAAGCACAGAAAACTGTTTAGTCAGGTTTGTTTTCTAACCTTTGTAGGACGGATCTGTGTAAGCCGCGTTGATGAAACGTTCAGAGTCCAACGTTTTCTCTGCTACGTCTATCAGGACTTGGATCACGTCGTTCCTGCCGTCTTTCAGGTTGAGAAAAGCTTTCAAGAGCGCCGTTTTCCCATTGGACTCATCTGCAACAATAACGAAACAAACGGCTTCATTCATAACTCTATGATCCGGCATTGAGTCTGAGTCAGTGAAGGACTTTTAACAGAACAAACGAAACCTTCTGGTTTTACAGGTATGGAATAGGCCGTTTGCTAAACTCATTCAGATTGAAATGACAGATCGGAGCCACTTTATCACATTTATTGATTAAAAATTAAGGCCAAAAGAAGAAATACAGGTGGAGTTCCTCAAGGCTGCGTTCTCGGATCATGCAGTACTATAACAACTCATTCAGCACCTGCTGCTGATATGTCATCTAACAACTCTGGTGTTATTAATAACATTATTTGTAACACAAACATGCTTATGGAAGTTGCTCCAGAAAAGTGGAAACCTGCAGAAACGCTGAGCATCTTTAGATCGAGGCTGAAACCGTTTGCTCTGAGCTGTGATGCTTATGGTCTGTTTGTTCCTTTAATTTCCTTCTAATCATATAAAAAACTTTTCATAAAATGTGACAAAATACCTACAAACACATTTTATGTGTCCAAAGTTTCTCAAAGGTTCTTTCTGCTTGTAAACAGACATTGTAATTATTAAACTGCTTTAGTTTAGCAGTACTTTTATGAATGAATAAATCAGATGAACAGAAAAATGTTGCAGCTTTTACACTGAAGAAACACAAAATCATACCAGTTTAGTTTCTAGTCAACTATCCTGATTTAAGATAAAACTGGTTGCTATGAATCAAAAAAAAAATTTCTGTTTTAAAAGTGAAATATAGAAATGTAAAAAAATCAAAGTTAAATAATTATTTGCTTAAAGCAGCTTCTATAAAGTTATTGTTAGGCTGTTTGGTAAAATGTTGTGTGTTTTGTAGGAGAGATGAAGTGGTGATCATGTCCTGACCTTTGAACTCTGGGCTCGTCAGCCGTTTCTGGTGAAGCTGCAGGAAGTCCAGCAGGCCGTGAAGCTGGGCGGCGTCGCCCTGAGACGCCGCCGCAAAGAGCTTCTCCCTGGTGAACGGCGGGCTGCTGCCGGCGGGGGAACGCGGCGGCCTGACAGGAAGACGATCAAACAATAATTCATCACAGCTCCATCTGGCGATGTCACCAGGTGACCTTTGAACCGATCACAGAACGGGACAGAGAAATTTAACTTTCTCCAGCCGAACAGAAACAAAACGAACGTTTTTACCTTTGGACCTACAGAGGAACGATCTATGCTTATAGATCTAGAGTCAACGCACAGCTTCAGTTACTCCGGCTCGAAACTGGAGATCAGGCTGACCTCTGACCTCTGAGCTGAACCTCCAGAGCCACATAGAGACGGTTACAAACCTGGTCTTCCATCACATTTATAACGTCTCAGAAAGATCTGCAGAAACTCGTCCATGTGCAGAGTTGGTGAGTAACTAGTTACTTTTACTTCAGTAACTTTATTATGAAGTATTTTTACTCTTACTTGAGTAAATTTCTGGATTTTCTTCCCACAGAATGAAAATCAAACATGTTTTAATCAAAAACTCATGAGACTCAGACTCTCACCTACAGTTTTTGTTAAAGTTTCTGAAGTTTTTCAATGAAAGAAACTGATTTGGAAACATTTTATTTTGCCTGATATTTTTGATATTTGATATTTTTTGTCACGTATAAAAATTATTGCCATTTTGGTTCTTAAAACTCCAGAAATTCCACTCAACTTCACATTTTGGCCCGTCTGATGATGTCATTTTTAAATATTAAATGATTGGTTATTTGATACTTTTTACCAATTACTTGTTTCCTGTTAGTTGGGTCATTTCTTCCTTTTACTTGAGTGAAAACATGCTGAAGTGGTGCTACCCTGTCGATGCGTTTATCTTCAGTTGCCCGGATCAGAAAGGAATCTGATCCGGAACGCTGCTGCTGCATCGGCCGGTTCTGAAGTCCGCTGAGTGAATAAACATTAAAATCACTGAACTACAGAAAAGATCTTCAGGTTCTGGTCTCCTCTGCATCAACAGAACCAGAACCAAGCAGCTTTCAGCTTCTATGCACCACAAATCTGGAACAAACTTACAGAAAACTGCAAAACAGCCGAAACACCGAGTTCCTTTAGGTCTGGTCCGAAAACCCAGAGATACTTTAGAACAGTAATAAATGAAAGTTTGACCAACATATTTAATGATTATTGATGATTATTGATGATCATTGATGATCATTGATGATTATTGTGATTCACCAGTAAAACTGGTTGAAGCTGTTTGTCGTCGTTAGAGAAGCGGCTGCAGGTCAGAGGAAACGTTTAATGGGCCGACACCTGTTTACATGAAACACGACACCATGCGCCTTACCTGGCGTCTTCCTGCTGCAGGTGAGCCGCTATTGGCCGGTTCGGCACCTACCTTTGCAGTGAGACGTTGCTGTCCATGGGCACAGGGACCGTCTCTGAGCTTTCACTTTGAAGCAGAGACAGAAGTCCTCCTTTCTCCTCGCCTGGATCTTTGTGAGACTCATCCTGGTCCTCCCCGTTTCCCTTTCCTCCCTTTTCCATTGTGGAAAAACCTGCAGCAGCTCCAGATGAGGCAGCAGGTGAAGGAGCCGCAGCTCCCCAGGTGGAGCGTCGCAGAAACAAATGGGAGGCGAACATGAGGTCATGGATTTTTACAGCTGTCGCTCCGCCCAGCAGCGACACCTCAACATGTTTCTCAAGTTAAAAGTAGCACGAAGTCACGCAATTAAAAAAGTACTGAATAAAAGGTAAAATTATCCGTCATTTAGTATTTAAAAATGACGTCATCACACAGACCAAAATATAAAGTTAAGTGGAAATTTGGTTATGTTAAGGATGAAAATTTGCAGGTGTTTTTGGTAAATTTGTGTTTTTCTTTCAGTGAAATTCAGAAATTTTACTGAGATAAGAATAAAAATAGTTCATAATAAAATTACTCACCTTCACAACTTCATAGTTTTGACCAATTTAAATCACACAATATTTAAAACAAGAACTTATTTACATCATAAACTTACTGTCAGTGTCCAGGAGCTGCAAAAAGAGGCTTTTTTACGCTCTGTTATAATTTAGCTTCTGTCTTTTAATTGTTGTTGAGATGAATTCACACCAACAGTTAAACAACAAATAGTCCTTTCAAAACAAAAGCACATCTGCTCAAACAGGAAGTTAATTATAGTTAAAACTAATTAAAGGTGAAGTAGGTAGAGACCTTCACAGTTATTAGTTAGTTGTACATTGAAGTCAACATTTAATCCAAAAACTTCCCAGATACTGAAAAATGTTCTTATTTTTAATCTTAATTTACTGTAAATAATTTTTCATAAGTACACTTAAAAAAACACTCAGCAGGATTTCAACAAAATATAACTTTAAGTTCTGAAAAAGACAAATTAAAAAAGGAGTAAATTTCTGCTGTTTTAGTTTTTTTTTTAATGTATGAGTTTGATAAACTGAAAATTTACCAGTTTCATAAGTCAAAAATGTTTGACTTTGGAAAATTCAAAACTTTTCCAAAAGTCAGTATTTTTAAAAACTGTAAAAAGTCTTTTAGAAAAAAATCTGGAAATTAATGTCAGATTTTCTGAGTTTTTTGGCAGAAGTTTACTCATTTTCCTGTCTCCCAGTCAGGCTGCGAAAATCAGGCCACGACAATGTTGAATATTCAACATTGTCGTAAAGGGAAAATTGGGGAAAAATAGAAAATAAAAGGCTTGTATGAACCCCCCTCCTTTTTAGAACAAATTTTCTTCTGGATTTTCTTTTATAGACAGTTATGAAGAAACTTTAAGGTTGTTTTACCGCCACCTACTGACATGGAGCGTGGCTCAAAATATCAGTTCACACAAGCATTGTTGTTTTCTATTAACTTTTTTCCTCCACAAAAACTAATTAAAATGAGCAGTGAGGCGGTAACTGTTTGTATTTTGTGCTGCAGTCGCAGCAGCGAGGCGGTGACCGTTTGTATTTTGTGCTGCAGGTCTTGGAGCTGAAGCCGGAGCAGCTGATTTACGACGGCCGGCTGCTGACCTTCAGCCGCCGCCTGGTTTCTGACGTCAACGTGGTGCTGCGGCACAACGGCCTGCTGCGGCACAACGGCCTGCTGCCTGAGGACACCATGTAGCGCCGCTGCCCTCCCACCATCTCTGCACTGTTAAGGTTTCACTGAACATCTGGACAATTTTCCACTGGGCTTTACACTGCTAATGTATTTATTTGATTAGATGCAAATCAGTTAAAAAATTGGATCAATGTAAATTAGTAGTTCTGAAAAAGAACATGTTCACATTTAATTTGCTTTTGTTCGCTCAAAGCAAAGCGTGAAGCACATGATGTTCACAGAATGTTTTCTTTTCTAACTGTTGTATTTTTCTTGTGAAAAGCTTTGGAACATCTAATAACTTACTTTACTTTCCAAAGTTCTTCAACTTCTGCCATTTTTGTTGCAATGAAACGTTGTAGTTTGATAAATGGAGGTTTGTTTTGATATTCTATAAATGTTTCTTAAAATTTAATACAACTGAACATCTTTCCTTCCAGGATTTTGCACAAATATTTAGAGGAAAGTTTTACTATATTTGTGCTAATATCTGATGTGATTTTTTTATTACTCGCCGGATTGATCACAAACTTTAACTGGACATCAGACCGAGGCAGCCGTCACTGAAACCCAACATTTCTGAACAAAATGTGAGAAAAGTTTTAATAATATCAGAAAAATGTGGGACGTCCGACCCAGAGTCCCAGCCAGTTTCTGATACTGGGAACTCTGGAAGCAGCTGATCCCAATGTGTTGACGATCCAGCCACGCCCACTGGGAACCTCCAGCCCAAACCACCGGCACCAGAACCAGAAGGCAGCAGGAGTCGGTGTGAGCTGGGATCAGTTCTGGACCCGCCATGACTCAAGTTCTGGACCCGCTGCTGCTGGGGAGGCCGCCGCCGCCCAGCGTGACCTTCATCGTCCTCTGCCTCATGCTGCTGCTCCTCATCTTCACGTGGGTGGAACATTGATTACCTTAACAAGCTGTTTGTTTATTTCTGGCTGATTTTGGCAGGATTAGTCTTCCATAAGAACAGAGTTCCCTTTATATTTAACCGTTTATATTTGGAGCTATTCTTTTATTTGATTAAAATGAGGTTTATTCTGAGTTTATTTGTAGGTTAATAATTGTTTTGTTTATTTGTGTTTTTGTTATTTGCTTTGTAAGCGAGACGAGAGGAACGGTGAGTCCAGTCAGCCACTGGTATGGGACCAGCATGCACTGGGTCCACTCTGGGTTTTCTATCTGAAGCAAAAGGAAACAATGGAAAGTTTGATCTTTTTTGCTTGCTTGTCCAATCGGAAACAGTAAGAACCTCGGACTTCTTTAGCACGCGTACGAAGCATCGGGTTGGACCTTCAATCGCCGCCACATTAAACAAATATAACATGGAAAAGCAGAAGAAGGAAAAAAATGCAAACATTCAAATCATTTTGACAGTTTTAATCAAAAACCTGTCTGGTGGAACTGAGAAGAGATGTTTAGCATATCTGTTAATACGGCACGGCTGCAGCAGAAAAACTCAAATATAAACCAAAATCATGAAATGAATTGGAGGCTGTTTAGGAACAGATGATGTTGCATTTTGTTGTTTTGTGATTTGGACCACAAAACAAAGTTTATTTTTATTATTCTGAATTTAATCCCAGAAGAATTATGGATTTTATTTTCTGTGTCTCTAATCCTCTTCCATGGTGACATGAGAAAACAAATCCTGTGTTTGGAGTAAATTTGGAGACTTTTCTTTCTCTTTTTTTACATCATATATTGAAAGAGTGAAAATAAAACAAACCATCTGATAGAAACCCGTCGCTCAGGCAGAGTGTGAGGAATGTGATTGGGGAAGGATGAGAAAACAATGAAAACAAAACTTTAAAGTGACACGACGCAGGAAATGTGAAGAAAATATGAAATAATCTCTTTGCTCACCAGAACTGCTAAGGTTTAATCCACTCAGTGTCATGAATTTGATGCAACAATGAGAAAATAACTTATTTTTGCTGCTTTGTGTCTGAATGATCGTTACGCATGAATTATTTATCTTCACTGCAGTTGTTTAGTCTGATCACAGACTGGTGGATATAAAACCTGTTTGTTTTGTCGCTCTGCAGGTCCAACAGGACGTCGCCTCCGCAGGTTCTGACGGACGCCTGGCAGCCATCAGTCGGGCCGGCTGTGGTCCAGAACCGAGCCACAGGAACCACAGGTCCCACCCGGCTTTTATCTGCAGCGATAATCAATTACAGAACAGAGAAAACCAAAAACAGATTTTTTTATGTTTTAGGGGAATAAAATATATGTACAAAAAATAGATTAGCATTTAGTGACATCATATTTTTGTAGGGAACTACAACAACAAACCTTTTATTTTTCTTCTAAACCAAATCTTTTTAAATAAAGAAATAATATTTATCAAAGAGAAATTATAATTTCTCTTTGTTCTCCGGCTAAAAACCAGGAGCCATTTCTGCTGCTAGCGCTAGGCTAGCATGTTTGTTTTGGTTGTATTTACCCAGAATGCCCTGCACTGTGGCCCACTTCCTGCTTTTGGAGCGCTCTCTGGTCCGCTTGGCGTTCACATTCAAACCGGATTGAGGTTTGCAGGCGAACCAGTGTTAGCTTAGCATTCCCACCTCACAGACCGAACTGGACCTTCTGGAAATCGGACTGGAGTTGGATTAAAGCGTTTTAAATGGGACTGGTGTGAATGAACCAACACCAATCGCTGCTCCGCAGGAGAACGCCTTGCACTTGACTGATCCCACTGATTCTGTTTTATTATCCACTGACCTGCTAATCTACATTTTAATCTTCCTGATTTTAATGTTTTTCCTCTTCCAGTTCTCAAAGGACAGGCGGCCCATCTGATACGAGTCCACGGCTGCAGAGCGCTGCTGGTGTCTGCTTTTCTGGAGCATCGAACCAAACCCAAGAAGGTAAGAAACGTTCTGGGCAGGAACCAGAACCAGGATCTTTGCACGCTCTGTTAAAGTTTCACTTCCTTCGATTTGGGGAAGTTGCTGCCAATTAGGCGAGTGAAGCTGTTGACTGGAATGTGCTGATTATTTGTCAGCAGACATCTGAGTTTGCAGAGGCATGGAGGGAAACTGGTTTGTGTTCGCACTGGAAAAATCTGGGCACAAAAAACAAGCCTGGAATTTTCAAGATTAATTTTGCAGATATAGAAAACAAAACATTTAGTGAAAAGCCAGAAACTTGTGACAGAAGGTGAAGCGTCCTCTAAGACCGGGCTGGTACATTTAGCAGATTCACATGTGAATATTTTTCTGGGTTCTGGCTGCAGAATCGCAATTGAGTTTCACGGAAGCCGTATTGGATGATTTCATCCAACTTGTTGTGGTGACAGGTTCTCGTCCTCGCCATCGTGTTTCGTCAAGAGAACGCGTCTGCCCACAAAGGTTTCAATAATAATTAAAACCTGGATAACAACATAAAAAAAAAGAGGTTAACAGTTGGTGTAAAAATAACAATCTTTCCTTAAACATTTTAATTAACCCTCCTGTTGTCCTCGGCTCATGTCGACCGAGGACAAGCCCTTAAAAAATATGTTTTTCAATTGCAGCTGCATACAGAAACTTTAATCTAACAGTCCTGCATCAGAACTATGGTGTGCACAACTCAGGGGGAAGTTTAGGCTCAAGCAATCCAAATGTGAACTTTACAAAAGAAATAAAGATAACCAAACCCAGGCCTCAGGTCAGACTGACCGGAAGACTAAGGAAATTACAGCTGGACAGGCAAACAGTATGGAATGGCATCACTGATCTCCGTAAAACTGATATCTTTTCAAATTTCCCCCCCCTCCTGTTGCCCTCGGGTTGACATGACCCGAGGACAAGCCCTTATAAAACATTTTTAATTGCAACTGCATACAGAAACTTGAAATCTAACAGTCCTGAATCAGACCTACAGTGTTCACAACTCAGATAGAATTTTCTGCTGCAGCAATTCAAATGTGAACTTGACGAAAAAAATAAGAATAACCTCCTGTTGTCTTCGGGTCAAAATGACCCGAAGACAAGAGGGTCATTTTGGATGCAGGCCTTTCTGGAGCGCTCCCTAAGGTGCCTGTCCAACAGCACAACAGTTTGTGCAAAGAAATCCTTAAATTTAAGTTGTTACAACCACCTGACAGAACAGAATAGGATCTACCAGAGAGCAAAAACGAGAGGTCACTGTGGACCACTGTGGGTCACTGTGGGTCACTGTGGGTCACTGTGGACCACTGTGGGTCACTGTGGGTCACTGTGGGTCACTGTGGACCACTGTGGGTCACTGTGGGTCACTGTGGGTCACTGTGGACACTGTGGGTCACTGTGGGTCACTGTGGACCACTGTGGGTCACTGTGGGTCACTGTGGGTCACTGTGGACCACTGTGGACCACTGTGGGTCACTGTGGGTCACTGTGGGTCACTGTGGGTCACTGTGGGTCACTGTGGACCACTGTGGGTCACTGTGGGTCACTGTGGGTCACTGTGGACCATGTGAACCACTGTGGGTCACTGTGGGTCACTGTGGACCACTGCAGACCACTGTGGGTCACTGTGGGTCACTGTGGACCACTGTGGGTCACTGTGGGTCACTGTGGACCACTGTGGGTCACTGTGGGTCACTGTGGACCACTGCGGGTCACTGTGGGTCACTGTGGACCACTGTGGGTCACTGTGGGTCACTGTGGGTCACTGTGGGTCACTGTGGACCACTGTGGACCACTGTGGGTCACTGTGGGTCACTGTGGGTCACTGTGGACCACTGTGGGTCACTGTGGGTCACTGTGGGTCACTGTGGACCACTGTGGGTCACTGTGGGTCACTGTGGGTCACTGTGGGTCACTGTGGACCACTGTGGGTCACTGTGGACCACTGTGGGTCACTGTGGGTCACTGTGGGTCACTGTGGACCACTGTGGACCACTGTGGGTCACTGTGGGTCACTGTGGACCACTGTGGGTCACTGTGGACCACTGTGGGTCACTGTGGGTCACTGTGGACCACTGTGGGTCACTGTGGGTCACTGTGGGTCACTGTGGGTCACTGTGGACCACTGCAGGTCACTGTGGGTCAATGTGGACCACTGCAGGTCACTGTGGGTCACTGTGGACCACTGCAGACCACTGTGGGTCACTGTGGGTCACTGTGGACCACTGTGGACCACTGTGGGTCACTGTGGGTCACAGTGGTCCACAGTGACCCACAGTGACCCACAGTGACCCACAGTGGGTCACTGTGGACCACTGCGGTCACTGTGGGTCACAGTGACCGCAGTGGTCCACAGTGACCCACAGTGACCCACTGCGGGTCACAGCGGGTCACTGCGGGTCACAGCGGGTCACAGTGGGTCTTTCCTTGGCAGAACCATCAATCCCACCTGCAATGAAAAAAGAACTCTGATTACTTAAAGTTACAAACTGTCAGCTGAGAAACATGGAGGCTGTGGCTAAAAAAACATTTAGACGAAGCAGAAGAACAGACTGTATTTACTAATTTGGCCATTTAGTTAATGTAATTGTTTCTGAAACAAAAGGCTGCAGTCACACTAACCTCTCAGCTAGAACTCATCCCTTATTGTTCAAATGTGAGAAAACAATTGTCTGACTTCAGTCTTGATGTTGCAACACTTTGATAAATGAAAACAAGGATGCAATTTGTTTTTGTCTTTTCATCCTTATGAGGATTACATCCTGCTGGGAAGCTGCAGGTTTACAGAAAAACACCGGATCTTTCCTCTGATACACATTTCATACTGTCAACATCAACCTGGAATGACTTAAGCCATGCACTTACTGCACAGTTTGAAGTTCATAATCTGGACTCTCCATGAGCTCTAAGAGCGGCTGGACGTTGGAATCTTCCAAGTTGTTGAAGCTCAGGTCAAGTTTTGTCAGAAGGGATGGATTGGACTTCAGAGCCGAGACCAGAGAATCACAGCTGATCTCAGACAAACTGCACTCTATCAATCTAAAGAGAGGATAAAACATGTGAGCTGACACCAGCAACAATGATGCCATTAGCATTAAATATACATGGACAAAATTGTTGGGATCCTTCTGTTAATTACCAAAAAGCCCACAACGGACACTGAAATAACAAGAAATAAGAACTTACTACAAATCATCCAACAAAAACCAGATATCGCTTTTTTGAATAGATCAATAAAACTGCTTAAGTAACAAAAACTGATAAAACAGAGATGATCAAAAGTGATGGAACCTTTAGATCATTGAAAGTGATCTGACCATTGGGATGTTAAAGATCTCTAATTAGCATCACAGGCGACAACACAGTGACGGTAAACCACAGCTGCCCTAGGCAGACTGACCTGACCAGGGGTTCAAACTGGCAACCCACCTGTCCCAGGATAAACCCCAACCTGCTGAGCCACAGATGGTAGCCAGTGACGGTGCCTCACCTTAGAGTCTGAATTCTGCAGAGAGGAATCTGTGCAAAGTCACAGAGCTCCTTCACGCCAGCATCTTTCAGGTTTTTGTTCCAGCTCAGGTCCAACTTTGTCATATGAGAAGGGTTGGACCTCAGAGCTGAGACCAAAAACGAACAACTGCTCTCCGACAAGCTGCAGTCCATCAGTCTAAATAAAGAATAAAACCGACAATTAAACCAGCAGAATGAGACTAAAACCGTAAAATAAAAAAATCTTTCATCGACTCTTAAAGTAGCGGTTAAATATCATGTTGTGCAACAAAAATTACTTTTGTTTTATTTCCAGATTTTCTGACCCCTGTGGACAGTGTGTTCATTTCACACTAATGCAGCCTAATCTCAACACGAAACCAAAAAAGGAAGCATCTGACCTCAGAGTTTGTAGTTTGCACACTGGATTCTTTAAAAAGCCACAGATCTCCTTAACTCCAGCGTCTCCCAGGTCTTTGTTCCTGCTGAGGTCCAGTTCTGTCAGATGGGAGGGATTGGACTCTAGAGCTGAGATCAGACGAGAACAGCTGACCTCTGACAACCTGCAGTAAAACAACCTGAAGAAAAATAAAACATGCAAGTCGAAGTCAACAGGAGGAAGTTTGGAGAAAATAAGTGGCATCAAGACATCAGCATTATCAAGTCTGAAGTGATCATTTTTTGTTGCAACATGATATTTGTTGCACAACATGATCATTTTAACCATATGAATAAGTCCAGAGTGAACTTCTGCACTGAGAAGGTTTTTCCAACACCAGCGACGCCGTTGGTCAGAACCACTCTGATGGCTCCATGTTGGTCAGGGAAGGTTTTAAAGATGTCATGGCACCTGATTGGAGAGTCATGGAGGTTCTGGATCTTGGCAGCTCTCTCCAGCTGCTTCACCTCATGCTGGGTATTAACCTCTTCACTTTGTCCCTCTGTGATGTAGAGATCAGTGTAGATCCTCTTGAAAGAGGTTTTAATTCCTGTTTCATCAATTCCTTCAGTCACACATTCACATCTCATCCTTAGACTGCTCTTATGTTCCTCTAAAGCATCATGTAGAGCAGAAGATACTGAAAGAAACAGAACAAATAAGACAATAGAAGTTACATAAAATAGCTTAAATAACATGTTCAGATCCATTTTGATAGGTCTTTCTCAATATGTTTAACTTTTATAACCACTCGCTTTGACATAGCAGATGTCACTTTTTACTTCCCACTACATCTTTAGAGATTTTTCCTGAACATGCAGAAGTAATGTGAGAAAATTGAAACATGTGAGAAAGATCAAGGTCTAAGAGGAAATAAATTGTGGAGCTTCAGTGGTGAAATTGGTCATCGTTTCCTCTTGGGGCTTCAACAACCAAAGTAGTGGAGCATCAGAATGAGCTCACAAGCAGTCCATGAGGAAGCAGGTATATTAGGAACGAACTCATTGGACTCACCGAGCCTTTCGGCAGTTCCTCACAGCTGGAATCAGTCTCCTCCGGCCCTCCTCTGATGTTCTGTACTTCCACAAGTCCACCTCATCCAGAACCTCATCTGACATCTGCAGCATGTAGGCCAGAGCAGAGCAGAATGCTCAAGCAGAATTGTCCAGATGGACGATTCTGCTTGAGGTTTGACTACTTATACCGAAGGACAACCCTGTCCCCTCCCTATGCACTACCCATGTGCAGAAGCAGACACATCATTCTCCAAGGAGAAGAACTTAAAAATCCCAGCAACCCATAGAAAACCTAATTCTTAATGTCAACACAATCCCCTTGTTACTAGTATGAGATTGTATTGTTTTTGTATTATTCAGTGTTGTTAGGAGTTAACTGATCAATCTTTCCAAGGGTTATAACTCTTACTGCTGTATGACACATTTTCTCTACCTGGAGTTGAACGGGTCTCACCTGGCACAGAGCTGCCTGGACTGTCTCTCTGCAGTTGGTCAGTTCTTCTGGATCTGTGACCAGCAGGGGGAGATCTTTGTAAAAGTTATGTACAAAATGCACCAGGACACAGACTGAATAGTATACAATATTTTCTTAACAATGAACTTGAAACATTTCTCTTTTTAAAAACATGGCTACTACTCAGTCCCTGGAAAGAAAAGGAAACATGTGAGGTAAGTACAATTTCAAATAAACTGTTAAAATCATTTGAATTTCTAATTAACAATAAATAATTTTTGTTTGGCTGTGCAGGCCTGAAACTTGTTTTGTCACTTGTATTTGGACTGCGGGTTACAAACCATGCTGTTTAAGAAATAAATCCACAGACAGTAACAACAGTCCCGCTTTGGAAGAACAAAACAATAAAATAAAGCTAGAGACTTGTGGAGCCATTTGAGAAATTCAGTTGTTTTCGTTAACTTTACTCATCCCAATAAATTGAGTGAAACCCGACCTCAGGATGTTTCATAAGTGGTTCTTTAAGGAATCTAAAGCTCCTTGCCAAATTAGTCTAGTTTAGGTTTGTAACTTATCACAGCTGAAACTGACTATTGTCAAGAGAGGATTTCAGGTCACTGCATGTGGTTTGGTACTTTCTGGTTAAGTGGAAGAAAGAGGAGGGTAAAAATGGTCTGTAAAACCTGGTAGGTTCACTCAGTGAAAATCTAATGTTCCTAAAACAAACTTCTTATTCTATTTTGGAATCAAATATGTGAACATCAATTTAAGATTTGAAAAATAAAGCGGCAAGTTCTCACATTGTGTCCAAGGGTTGAGGATGATCACTGAAATCCGGAGGTTCACTGATGGACTTTTTACTCTTCATAGACACACAGTCAGATTGAGGAAACTCTGCTCTCCTTTTGATGCTCTGACGTCTGAAACACAGTCATGTCATTCAGATCACATTTGAATTGAGAAATAAAATACCCAGCTAATATTTTTCAAGTGTTTTACAGCAAAAGAATGATTAAGCTTTATGTGACAAACAGTTTTAGTGTGGTCCCGTTATGCACTAGTGATTTTATGGAGCTCTTACAGGTCGAGACCCAGAGTCAGGGGGTTTGTGATTGATGGTAAAAGCTTCGCTCCTGATATGATCCAGGAACAAAAATCATATGCAAGTTATATCTTTTCACCGGTCAGATTGCTCAGAGTTCATGTACCTGCTGTCATATGCAGGTTTCTAGGATTAAAAGTGTTCATAAAATACAACTTGCGTATGAAGCATCTTACTTTACGTCTGAGGATTCAGGTTTGTTCCTGTTGGCTGAACTGCTGGAGTTATCGCCTTGTTCCTCCACATGAACCTCCATCTTCTGGGCTTTCAGTCTCTGAGAGGAAAACAAACACCGAGTGGAGATGAAACCTCAGTGTGAAATCTTTATGCTTGTATGTTCAGATTTGTCTGCATTGTTTGTACTGAACTTGTTCGCACCTTGCAGGGAAGTTTAGTTGTGGAACCAGAATTTAAGGCAGTTTCCACACCATTAGTTTGTTTCCTGTGATCAGAATCAGTTAATTTATTAACTTATAACTCGACTTAATGTCACTCAGAGGACACAATCTGGACCTCTTGGTACAAACCAGGCGAGAACATTCCTTCTGTCTGTTGGTTAGACATTCATGGACATGAGAACCAAATGTAAACAGGAAGTAGATGTTCTGAACTGCTGAAAACAAAGGATTAAATCATTTTGGGTTTAACTTCAGGTATCTTTGGAAAAGTGGGTTAGGGTTAAACTGATGACCTGTGACCCCGCCTCTCGCCCGGAACGTTGGCTGGAGATGGGCACCAGCACCTCCCGACCCCGTTTGGGTCAAGGCTGTTAGAAAATGGACGGATGATGTTCCCAGTTACTTTGAGAAGATGTCCTGAAAGTTGTTGGGCTTTATGAAACCACCATTGTCTTTCAGTTCACCTGCATCCCACAATGCAATGCAAACCTGGCTAAGGGAAGATGTTTAGGTCAAACTTGTCAGACCTCAGAAACAGTGAGGTCACTTGTTTAACTTAATGTGAAAAAGTTTGTCAAACTTTGAAGATTTTAATAAACTCCTCTTGAATCTTCCAAAGGAAAACAATATAAGTTATGATTACAAGTCAGATAAAACAGGAAGTCTCAGTTTCTAAAGATGAATTCTGTATTACAATTTCTATTGTTGCATTTTATTCATTATGCTTTACTTGTTTTCCTACTTAATTCCTCTTGTAATTTGTTGACTTAGCCTTAATTCTCCACCTTTAAATAGTTTGAAATGCAAAGAAAAATATTGAATTATTGGTAATTCTGTCAGACATGAGGCCACAAAGCTTTTATGCTCAGGGCACCTGAATGGCTAGCAACGTCCCTGCTCCTCGTCCCCGCTCCTCGTCCCCGCTCCTCGTCCCTCCTCCTCGTCCCTCCTCCTCGTCCCCGCTCCTCGTCCCTGCTCCTCGTCCCTCCTCCTCGTCCCCGCTCCTCGTCCCCGCTCCTCGTCCCTGCTCCTTGTCCCTCCTCCTCGCTGCTCCTTGTCCCTGCTCCTCGTCCCTGCTCCTTGTCCCTGCTCCTCGTCCCTCCTCCTCGTCCCTCCTCCTCGTCCCTGCTCCTTGTCCCTGCTCCTCGTCCCTGCTCCTTGTCCCTGCTCCTCGTCCCTGCTCCTTGTCCCTGCTCCTCGTCCCTCCTCGTCCCTGCTCCTCGTCTCTGCTCCTTGTCTCTGCTGCATCCCAGGTCTGTAATCATGTCCTGAACTGAACTTTAGTCCAGCTGCTGTTATAATGTAAAAGACCAGATGGTTCAACCTTACAGCTCTCCTGTCCACAGCCAGATCACAACCACATAATCAAGACAAGCAGGTCTATCCAGGTGTAGATTTTTTTTTACTTTCTCTTTATCAATCTGCTGGTTTGAGTTGATCCTCAAAAAAGATGTGAAAATGATTTACAGCAGATTCAGTTTGTGATAGCAGATGTGGTCAGTCTGTTTTACTGAGTGTAGTTTCTTATCTCCAGCTGATAAAGATCTGAACTAAACTGCAATTCAAAACACTTGAATCTGATCTGGATTCTGATTGGTTTAGCAGTTGTATCTGAGCAGTCTGGTCAGCTTGAGATAAACATGAACAGGAAGATTTAATTTAAGTTGCACTGCTGGAGACAAAATATTAAGTAAATGTGTTGCAGACTCTGACAGAAAAACAAGAAGTAACTCTCACCTGAATCAGGTTTTCTTTTTTCTCCTCCAACCCGACAAAATGGAGTCTAAACAAACTTAAGCGTTTGTTTTTCTATCTGACTTACCTTCTCGGTGAGGCTCCGCCCCTTTCATTCCCAGGAATCCAGTAGAGCAAGTTCCATGGAGAGCCAAGTAAAGTATTACACAATGTCTTGTCTCTGGTAGAGCCACTTGAATCAAATCTTCCTGTTTGACTCTTGCTTCCAGCAGAGACGTCGGCATGCAGGGCCGGCCCAATGCTGAACGGGGCCTTTAGGAGGATTTGATTTAGGGGCCCCTCTTCCTGTGAAGAACATCTCCACCAGAAACAGCGTTTCAATACAGATTGAATGTAATCGGGGAGAGGGAAGCCAGGATTAACTGGCCATGCTTAAAAGCAACCATTGATAAAAGTTAATTATTTGCTGAGATGTATTTGTGAAAAAACAGTTGAAAACTAAGATTAAACTCAAAGAATCAGATTGCAACTGTTGTAGCAACAATCAAACTCACAAATTAAATCTTAAATGTTCAGCAATTTAATATAACATTTATAACTTTGGTCACTGTAAGGGATAATTGTCATTCAAACTCTCATTGGCACCAACTGCATCAGAATAAAAGGAAACGAACGTGAAAAGTTCAGAAAGTTTTGGAGAGAAGCCAAACAATGAGGACTGCCTCCCTTCAAAGAAAAACAGAAACTCATGTTTTTGATAACTTTTAATCCTCCATTGAGTGTGAAGATGATGGTTCAAAATATCTGGGAGAAATTTGTTCAAGTTTGACATGTTTAAAAAGTCAAAAATGTCCAAAAATTACCAATGGACCCAAAAGAGCTGACTTCCTGTTGGATTTAGGGCAAACCTCCAATTTTGGTGCTTCAGGGAGTTCAATCTACACAGTAATATTCATCTCTCATATTCACCATTTTGACTATTTCCCAATAGGGGGAGCTGTCGAGCTGTTTGCTCACACCCACCCATGATTTCCATTTAAATACCTACATCTCAGTCAGTGTAAAGTTTGGTGTATGTTTCACCCTCTAAAATGGCACTTGTTTTATGTCAGGAAAAATATTAAACATTTAAAAATAAGTCTTTGTGGTGATTTTCCTGCTCAGGCCAAATTATCACACCAAATTATCAGGTCAGTGTGGGAGGTTTATTTATATATCCACATTACACAAGTCACATTCACATAATGCATAGGAAACCCCAACATTTTATGCAAAACGGGGCTTTTTTTAATATAAAAGTGCGTCATTTGAAGTCTGTTTGGAGTTCACACAGATATGACATAGTACTCTGGACTCTTGCATCTTACATGACTGTTTACGACAACTCAAATTTTCTACAAATGCTAAGTTTGAGTTGAAATGACGATTGAGATTAAATGACAGTGAATCACCCAAAGGTCATTGCTTTCCTATGATCAAGAGTTCTATTAGTATAGGATCGAAAAACCCTCTGTTGACCTGATCAAGTGTTTTCTCATATAGAGGGAAAAAATTATCCTATGGCCCCTCCTCCACAGGCGACCGCCCTCAGGCACTGATAGAACCCATGGCACAAAAAATGATCCTTAACGAAACATTGGTAATGACATAACAGGATGGAACAAAGCTGAGTCGGACCTTGAAATTAGACCATTAAAATGAATCTTGGCAGCATTCTACGGCAACAGCATCTCTGTCCTTTAGTTGCAAAAGCAATGTGGTGTTTTTGAGATTTGTTTTCAAAAAAAAAAACTATTGTGGTGGCTTCTCATCGTTCTTTTTCAAAATGGTAAAATATGACCAGTATCTTTGTGAACTATGACAGGTGAGCTCAAAACTCGGGACTCTTCTTCTCCTGCGCAGGAGGTGAGAGGAGCTTCGGGGGATGAGAGCTGCTTGCGGCACCATCACTCGGGACTCTTCTTCTCCTGCGCAGGAGGTCAGAGGAGCTTCCGAGGATGAGAGCTGCTTGCGGCACCATCACTCGGGACTCTTCTTCTCCTGCGCAGGAAGTGAGAGGAGCTTCGGGGGATGAGAGCTGCTTGCGGCACCATCACTCGGGACTCTTCTTCTCCTGCGCAGGAGGTGAGAGGAGCTCCGGGGGATGAGAGCTGCTTGCGGCACCATCACTCGGAACTCTTCTTTCCCAGCGCAGGAGAGAGGAGCTTCGGGGAAGATGCTTGCGGCACCTCACTCGGACTCTTCTTCTCCTGCGCGGGAAGTTCGGGGAGAGAGCTTGATGAGAGCTGCTTGCGGCACCATCTTCTCCACGCAGGAGGTGAGAGGAGCTCGGGGGATGAGAGCTGCTTGCGGCACCATCACTCGGGACTGTTCTTCTCCTGCGCAGGAAGTGAGAGGAGCTTCGGGGGATGAGAGCTGCTTGCGGCACATCACTCGGGACTCTTCTTCTCCTGCGCAGGAGGTCAGAGGAGCTCCGGGGGATGAGAGCTGCTTGCGGCACCATCACTCGGGACTCTTCTTCTCCTGCGCAGGAAGTGAGAGGAGCTTCGGAGGATGAGAGCTGCTTGCGGCACCATCACTCGGGACTCTTCTTCTCCTGCGCAGGAAGTGAGAGGAGCTTCGGGGGATGAGAGCTGCTTGCGGCACCATAACTCGGGACTCTTCTTCTCCTGCGCAGGAGGTCAGAGGAGCTTCGGGGGATGAGAGCTGCTTGCGGCACCATAACTCGGGACTCTTCTTCCCCTGCGCAGGAAGTGAGAGGAGCTTCGGAGGATGAGAGCTGCTTGCGGCACCATCACTCGGGACTCTTCTTCTCCTGCGCAGGAAGTGAGAGGAGCTTCGGGGGATGAGAGCTGCTTGCGGCACCATCACTCGGGACTCTTCTTTCCCAGCGCAGGAGGTCAGAGGAGCTTCGGGGGATGAGAGCTGCTTGCGGCACCATCACTCTGGACTCTTCTTCTCCTGCGCAGGAAGTGAGAGGAGCTTCGGGGGATGAGAGCTGCTTGCAGCACCATCACTCGGCACTCTTCTTCTCCTGCGCAGGAAGTGAGAGGAGCTTCGAAGGATGAGAGCTGCTTGCGGCACCATCACTCGGACTCTTCTTCTCCTGCGCAGGAAGTGAGAGGAGCTTCGGGGGATGAGAGCTGCTTGCGGCACCATAACTCGGGACTCTTCTTCTCCTGCGCAGGAGGTCAGAGGAGCTTCGGGGGATGAGAGCTGCTTGCGGCACCATAACTCGGGACTCTTCTTCCCTGCGCAGGAAGTGAGAGGAGCTTCGGAGGATGAGAGCTGCTTGCGGCACCATCACTCGGCACTCTTCTTCTCCTGCGCAGGAAGTGAGAGGAGCTTCGGGGGATGAGAGCTGCTTGCGGCACCATAACTCGGGACTCTTCTTTCCCAGCGCAGGAGGTCAGAGGAGCTTCGGGGGATGAGAGCTGCTTGCGGCACCATCACTCTGGACTCTTCTTCTCCTGCGCAGGAAGTGAGAGGAGCTTCGGGGGATGAGAGCTGCTTGCAGCACCATCACTCGGCACTCTTCTTCTCCTGCGCAGGAAGTGAGAGGAGCTTCGGGGATGAGAGCTGCTTGCGGCACCTTCACTCTGGACTCTTCTTCTCCTGCGCAGGAAGTGAGAGGAGATTCGGGGGATGAGAGCTGCTTGCGGCACCATCACTCGGAACTCTTCTTCTCCTACGCAGGAAGTGAGACGAGCTTCGGAGCATGAGAGCTGCTTGCGGCACCATCACTCGGGACTGTTCTTTTCCTGCGCAGGAAGTGAGAGGAGCTTCGAAGGATGAGAGCTGCTTGCGGCACCATCACTCTGGACTCTTCTTCTCCTGCGCAGGAAGTGAGAGGAGCTTCGAAGGATGAGAGCTGCTTGCGGCACCATCACTCGGGACTCTTCTTCTCCTACGCAGGAAGTGAGACGAGCTTCGGAGGATGAGAGCTGCTTGCGGCACCATAACTCGGGACTCTTCTTCTCCTGCGCAGGAGGTCAGAGGAGCTTCGGGGGATGAGAGCTGCTTGCGGCACCATAACTCGGGACTTCTTCCCCTGCGCAGGAAGTGAGAGGAGCTTCGGAGGATGAGAGCTGCTTGCGGCACCATCACTCGGCACTCTTCTTCTCCTGCGCAGGAAGTGAGAGGAGCTTCGGGGGATGAGAGCTGCTTGCGGCACCATAACTCGGGACTCTTCTTTCCCAGCGCAGGAGGTCAGAGGAGCTTCGGGGGATGAGAGCTGCTTGCGGCACCATCACTCTGGACTCTTCTTCTCCTGCGCAGGAAGTGAGAGGAGCTTCGGGGGATGAGAGCTGCTTGCAGCACCATCACTCGGCACTCTTCTTCTCCTGCGCAGGAAGTGAGAGGAGCTTCGGGGGATGAGAGCTGCTTGCGGCACCTTCACTCTGGACTCTTCTTCTCCTGCGCAGGAAGTGAGAGGAGCTTCGGGGGATGAGAGCTGCTTGCGGCACCATCACTCGGGACTCTTCTTCTCCTGCGCAGGAAGTGAGACGAGCTTCGGAGGATGAGAGCTGCTTGCGGCACCATCACTCGGGACTCTTCTTCTCCTGCGCAGGAAGTGAGAGGAGCTTCGGAGGATGAGAGCTGCTTGCGGCACCATCACTCGGGACTCTTCTTCTCCTGCGCAGGAAGTGAGAGGAGCTTCGAAGGATGAGAGCTGCTTGCGGCACCATCACTCTGGACTCTTCTTCTCCTGCGCAGGAAGTGAGAGGAGCTTCGAAGGATGAGAGCTGCTTGCGGCACCATCACTCGGAACTCTTCTTCTCCTACGCAGGAAGTGAGAGGAGCTTCGGAGGATAAGAGCTGCTTGCGGCACCATCACTCGGGACTCTTCTTCTCCTGCGCAGGAGGTGAGAGGAGCTTCGGAGGATGAGAGCTGCTTGCGGCACCATCACTCGGGACTCTTCTTCTCCTGCGCAGAAGGTGAGAGGAGCTTCGGGGGATGAGAGCTGCTTGCGGCATCATCACTCTGGACTCTTCTTCTCCTGCGCAGGAAGTGAGAGGAGCTTCGGGGGATGAGAGCTGCTTGCGGCACCATCACTCGGGACTCTTCTTCTCCTGCGCAGGAGGTCAGAGGAGCTTCGGAGGATGAGAGCTGCTTGCGGCACCATCACTCGGGACTCTTCTTCTCCTGCGCTGGAGGTGAGAGGAGCTTCCTGGGATGAGAGCTGCTTGCGGCACCATCACTCGGGACTCTTGTTCTCCTGCGCTGGAGGTGAGAGGAGCTTCCTGG